GCGACATGCGCGCCCGCGCCAAGCAGCACGCGTTGCTGCAAGCGTCGCTGCGCCAAGCGCTTGCGCCGATCTTGGTCGCCGCCGTCGCGCAGCGTGTTATATGCCAGGTCAAGGCGCGCTGGGGTGGCGGTTGGCGCTGGAGGCCAATGTGCGCCGCTGTGCGCGGCACTGGCGCCAATTAACGCAGATGCACCTCGCGCTGGCCCGCGCCGCCACGATGCTCCAGCTCTGGCTACGCGAGAGCGTCAAAATCAAGACCGTCGCGTACAAGGTCTTTTATGGACTACGTATATTCACGCGCAAAGTGACGCTGGTCCAAACGTTTTGGCGCCAGCACGCGGCGATCCACGCGTACCGGCGACGCAAGCTACTGCGCATGTGGTATGACTTTGAGCTCGTGGAGCCGCCGCCAAGCGTGCTGCCCGAGCCCGAGATCCTACCCGCGAAGCAGGACAAGAAGCCACCCGCGGGGCACCGGCGCTCCAAGAAACCAGAGGTAGTAGTAGAGACGAAGCGGCCGTATCCGACGCTGCCATACCCGTACCCGAACTTTGAACTCGCGCTGCGCCTCGACATCATCGATCAAGTGCTTGCCGAGTACGAAGGGTCGCTGCGCCGCCGGTTCCGAGCCCTCGAGGTGGTTCAAGTAGTCGAATGCGTGAGTTCTTAGCCACGTCGTGCGTAGGACGACTTGTACCCGTACCTGCTCGAGTGCCTCCAGGGCCTGGAGAAGGACGCACCGCGGAGTCGCGTGCGAAAGAAAGCGCAGCAATATCGACTTCTTGGCGCGGTGCACACGCAACTCCAGCGCATGCCAGGCGCGCTCGACACGCAAGCGAGCGACGGCTACGCGCAGCTCACACTGGCCGCGTCCATTGATTTGCCTGCGATGCTGCACCGCGCGAACGAGCGACTCAACCCTGCGCTGTACCTCAACACCGCCGGGCCCAACGACCCGCCGCCGCCCGTCAGCCGTCACCGTTCGAGCAAGCGTCTCAGCGTCGGATAGCAACAGACACTTACTCGTTCAGAGTACTCTTCTTATCGTGCAATAAAATGTGTTGCAATGGCGACATGACGAAGACGGCTGCATCGTGATATTGCTAGAACACACCAGCACTGCTGCGACGTTGACGCTGCACTACTCGAGTGTCATCCTAGCGTCGTCGCCGCCACTGCCTCCGCAATGCATTCTTCTTTAAAACTCGCGTTGGCATGAGGCTGCGTGTGAGTCCCTCACAAGGCACGTTCAATTGTGTTTGGAAAATAGGATTCATGCATTACCGAGCCGAAAACGGCGCCGAGTCATCCCGTGTCGATCCCGCCGATGGGTCCATGGCACACCGAATCCAACCTGCATCTACAGATGTGGTATTCTGCACCTGTTCATGCTGTCGACCTCACAAAGTTTCGGTGACCTCACGTGCTGGTCACGGACAAGCAAAATACAAAGGCGGTGGGACTTGAAGTAGTGTGGCACGTCGCTGTGTTGCTGACGTCCGCGCTACATCCGTTGCCTCCATCGGTGTGCAAGAAAGCCGTCGCCCTGCAGTCGAGCGCTTTACACGCGCGTGCAACCTCTCCGATATGGGCCGTCAGCCTCGCACAGCCTTTCAAGCAGACGCATGGATCGATAATGTACGAGTGTACAGTTTTTCCACTTCAACTTGAACGAGTATATAGTTTTGAAGAGAGTATTGGATTCCACCGAGCTAGGTGAGGCTTGGACCACTCATGCCGGCGTTTTGTGGGTCGGCTCTCGCCGACGTGCGCTCGGACTCTTCGTCGTGGGACGCGGTGATTTCTTGGACGGCGCTAATGATCGAGTTCTGGTAGCTCTCGAACGGGTCAACCTTGTCGTTCAAGAACGACTCGAGGATGTGCATGAGGAAGAAGCCCACAATGTTGGACCACGCAGCGCCAACGTCTGGCGACGCGTACTCGCCGAGCCAGTACATGATGACCTCAATGACCGTGCTCGTGTACTGCGCCCAGTGGTGCGGCCGGACGCCGCCAAAGCTGCGGTGGCGGTGGCCAAGGTAATGGCACTTGTTGACGATCTGCTTCGGGTTCTCGGCCGAGCTCTTGAGCATGAAGGTCATGGCCTTGACGAGAACTTCGCCACGCTTGCCAATGTCGGGGAAGACTTCTTCGAGCGTAAAGTCGCGTTGGAAGAGCCGGAAGAAGAACTCGTCGTAGAAGAGCACGATACCTGACTTGCCATATTGCCGCATGCGGTCCGTATTCGCCGTCACAATGAGCTTCCAGCTCTTGCTGCAGTCGAGGAGGTACGCCGTGTTGAGGATCGGGCGCATGGGAAAGTTGGGTGGCATGTAGTGCTGGACGCAGTCGGACGCGGCCGTGCCGTACGTAAAGTCGCGGTGCAAGACCTCCTCGACCACGATATGCTTCTCCTTCGTCGGCTTGCCGCCCATGGTCACGCACCAAGTATGAAATTGAACGAGGTGGCAACGCGCTAATGTTCCCACGGAAAACATCGAAAATCGATGTTTTATCCGTCAACGTGGCTGAAAGACCGACAACGAGGCTGAAATATTGTTGGTGCATGGTCAGGTACCAACAACTCTCAGGTAGCGATTCAACGTGTACTACGTGGGCTGCACCAAGGGGACATCAATTCAATAGTGAATTGATGTACCCTTGGCTGCAGTTTTTTGGCGCCACAACGACGCGTCGAGGCCATCGAGCAATATGGCAGTGCTAGCACGAGGTGGCTCTCAAAAGTAGTTCGTGGCGACGTCCAGAACGACAAATCTAGCGGCAAGCAAGTGAGCGCTGGAAGGCGCGGTGATGGCACCAAGATAATCGCGGGCTCGTTGTTTGTGTGTTTTTATCCTATTACCGGATACCGTATCCGGAAACCCCTTCTGGCAGACAAGCATTTCGAACGATCCCAAGAAGAGATGGCAGACGCGGTGTCGGGCAGCATCCATGCGACGCGCGAGAACACGCTGGACGAGCCCGTGTCCGAGACCATCGTAAAGAGGCGATGACCTCGGGTAGGCTAGGCGCTCATGCTTCCGGCGTAGCTGCGCGACGTCCGGCTCGTCGGCTCCAAGCTCAAGGTGGTGTTGATGCCACGCAACACGTCGGACGAGACGCTCCAAGCGCTGCGCGACTGGGACCTCTGGGGCCCGCTCATGGTTTGCCTCATGCTCTCCATGTACGGCGTCGCTGGCCATGACGTGCTCCTGACGATATATGCCTAGTCTCTTGAGCCTCACGGCGCCCGCGAACCAGTCGGCGATGGTGTTTACAAGCGTCTTTGTCGTCGTGTGGGTCGGCGCCGCCGTCGTGACGGTCAACGCGCAGCTCCTCGGCAGCACCATGTATGGACCTCATCCGTTTTGCATGCATGCGTCTCAAATCCTTTTGCTAGTTCGTTCTTCCAGAGCATCTGCGTCTTGGGCTACTGCGTCTTTCCGTTGGTGATTGCGACGCTCGCATGCTTCCTCACGCGCGTCGTGTCGTCGCACGTGACGATCCGCCTGATCCTCGTCGGCGTCGGGTTTGTCTGGTCCACGCGCGGTTCGTTCGCCTCCCACCTCGTCCCCATGCTGACCACGTCGTCGCATAGCGTCCGTCGTCTTCATGTCGCAGCTGGTGCCGCCCAAGAAGAAGGCGCTCACGGTGTACCCGGTGTTGCTCTTTTACATCTTTATCAGCTGGATGATCCTGATTCAATAAACGCGCGTCCTCACGCGAGCTCGATCGCTGCAATCTCGACCGTCGTAAACTCCACCCGCGCCTGGAGGAGCTCGATCACGCGACCGGCCGATAGCTTCCAGTCGACGACGCCTCTCGTCGTCGGTCGGCCGTAGAACTCAAGCACGTCGTCGGGTACATCGACGTT